GATAAAGGTACTAGAAAAATTCAACAAAGTAAAAGGCAAATCTTTTCAACAAATTGTACTAGAACCAATGACTCTCATATCTCATAATATACAAAAATCAATTTGTGATGGTTCATAGACCTAAATGTAAAACTATCATACTTTTAGAAGGAAAGATAGGAGAATACCTTATAATATGGGGTTAGACAAGCAGTAAACATAACATTAAAAATTAGTAAATCAGATATCATCAATACAAACTATCTTTTCATCAAAAAATACCATTAAGAAAACAGTCAGGCCATAGACTTATGTTAAGAATATATTATAACAATAGACCAATGGGATAGAATTAAAAATCCAGAAACAAGCCCACAAATCTATGGTGAACTGATTTTCTGACAAAGGCTACTGAGTCCATTCAATGCAGAAAGAAGAGTATTTTCAATTAATGGTGCTGGGAAAATTGGATTTCCACGTGCAGAAAAATGAAACTGGATCCATGCCTCACACCATATATTAAAACATTCAAAATGGACTAAGGACCTAAATGTGCTAACAAAAACCATAAAATTCTTAGAAGAGTAAGCAGGAGCAACACTGTTAGGCCTAAGTTTTATCTAATATCATTTTAAAAAGCACAAACAGCAAAAGATGAATATATCAGACTTCCTAAAAATTAAAAACTTTTGTTCATCAAAAGACTTAACCAAAAAAGTGAAAAGACAAGCTACCTACTGAGAAAATATCTTTTAGAAAACATATATCCAACAAAGATCTAATAACCAAAATATATAGAAAATTTCAACAACTTAACAACAAAAACACAAATAACCCAATCATAAAATGGGAAAAGGACTTGAACAGATATTTCTCACCCAAGAGGACATTCAGATGGCCACCAAACACATACAAAAGATGCTCAGCAATATTAGCCTTCAGAGAGATGCAAGTCAAAACCACAATAAGGCACCATTACACTCCTACTAGGATGGCTAAGACCAAAAAAATGGAAATAAAAAATAGTGGTAAGGATGTGGAGAAATTGCAACTCTTACCATTGCTGGTGGTAATGCAAAATGGTATAGCCTCTGTGAAAAACAATGTGGGGTTCCTCAGAAACTAACAATAGAATTACCACATGGCCCAGCAATTCCACTCCCAGATATATACCCAAAAGACTTGAAAGCAGAGACTCAGAGACTTGTACACCAATGTTCACTGAAGTACTATTCAGAATAGCCAAAAAGTAGAAATAACCTAAATACCCATCAACAAATGAATGTATAAACAAAATGTGGTGCATACATACTACTCAGCCAGTAGGAGAAATGAAGTCTTGATTACATACCAAAGCATGGATGGAGCTTGAAGACATTATGCTGGGTGAATCACAAAAGGACAAATATTGTATGACCTCACTTATATAGAAAGACAAGAAAAGACAAATGTTTACAGATCAAAGTTTATCAGGAGTTACTAGGAGCAGCAGGGAGGGAAAAGGGGTTAATGGTGATGGAAGAAATACACTGATTAAGAGTAGGTTTGCAAAGCTGATTAATGTAATTGCTGTTAATAAGTTGTACATGTATAAAAAGTTGAGTTGGCAAAGGTGTGTGATAAATATATGCAACTATGACACACACCGGGCTTGTGCTTACTCACTGATCTGCACTGAACACTTTCCCTTGTTACCCTCCCGAGAGGGACCGGGTCTCCGGGAGCTAGGTAAGCACGGGCGGAATGAGGAAATTGAAGAATTTTATCAGCTTCTACAGTCTGAAATTGACCAAACATGCAATCAGGATGGGTTAATTATCACTGGTGACTGGAATGCAAAAGTTGGAAACAAAGAAGAATCACCAGTAGTTGGAAAATTTGGCCTTGGTGACAGAAATAATGC